GGAAGGAAGGAAGGAAGGAAGGAAGGAAGGAAGGAAGGAAGGAAGGAAGGGGACCTATATGACAACTATCCCATGTAATGATTTTAGATATTTGCAACAAAATGCAACAATCCATAAAACATAGCTAAAAACAAAAGTACCTTTCCCCACAAGCACAGATCAAATATCCTCCTAACTCAATCTCTATTTTGCCCAATGCTTGGTGGAAGGGCTAGATCTTCAGCGTCCTCTCGAAGCCTACAAAAGTATGAACCCCTCAGATCTCAAGTTGGAGGCTGTGGGAATGGGCTTAACATAATGATAGAGGAGGAGGAGGAGGAGGAGGAGGAGGAGGAGGAGGAGGAGGAGGAGGAGGAAGAGGAGGAGGAGGAGGAGGAGTTGGAAACTGAATCAAAACAAAGTGATCACTGAAATGAAAGAAGCTTTTGAGGATAACAATACTTGACAAAGATTCCAGTGACAGATTTTAATTCAGAAAACATGAACCAAGTGATGGGACTGAATAGGACAAGAGCATTGATTTCCCAGAGCAAAGCTCTAGAAGACCTTGAGTCCATTAGCTCTTGTTCTATGTAATTTCATGTAAGACCACTTATGGCCCCAAGGATCAGCTGTGGAATAACAGTAAAAGAATTTGAGGACTGGGGAACTTTCATATTCAGTTTTTTTGCATCACTAGAAACTCAACCGTTTTGATGAATATTAAACTTATACTGTGCAAGCTTAAGACCTTTGGGCAGTAGACAAGATATAAATATTCTGAATAAATTATATTTCATTTCATTTAAACAATTATTGGTATAGCGTAATGTGCCTCAAGAGTTTTAAAATAAAATTGAACTTGACAACCAAACTGATATTCATTAAGGGAATAAAATTGGATGTATGAACTGGTTCTAAAATGTCACTGTTATTGTCATCACTGCAAATGGCTAAATGGCTCAATTTTTTTTCTCTTTTATGTTTTCAAGGCTCAACAGATCAGTAAACATTATGACAAAATTCACACTGGCAGCAGCTTGTGTCATATAACAAGAGAGGGAAAGAGAGAGCATGTATTGTCAATTAAATCAACGAAAATAATACTTTTATAATAACTGTGAGGAGACACTTTAAATATTTAAAATGTGAATGAATGGATATATTGAAGGCTTTTTGTACTAGCAGTTCAGTGCAAGATGCTATGCCTTTCTTTTGCTCCTTGAGCGCCATAAGATTTCATTCTGCCCCTTGTGTTTTTTACCAGAAGATGAAATTATTCAGAAATTCAAGTTTCATGTTATAAATATGTACATGACATATTGTTTTCTTCTACGAATATAATGAAGGCTGTGGGAGGGATGAAGTAACTTTATATGAAACAGCCATCTTTTTCTTTTCATTGGCCCTTGTTTGCTTCAATTACTTCCAAAATACTTTGAGTTTATTTGGTTCTCTTGACCTGAGAATTCCGTTTTTGGGGAGGTTTTGACTTTTACATGGCGTAGATCATTAAAGCTTCAGAATATAATATAATCAACTGTATATAATCAACTGACAGAACCCAATCAAGTACAAGTAGTCCTCAACATATGACAACAATTGGGAGCAGAATTTCTTTTGCTAAGCAAGATGGTTGTTGAAGTGAGTTGCGCCTGATCTTACAGCCCTTTTCACCACGGTTGTTAAAAAATATCACTGCAGGTGTTAAGGGAACCACACGGTAGCTTCATCAAACCTGGCTTCTCTCATTGACTTTGCTTGTTGGAAGCTGGCCAGGAAAGTTGCCAATGGTGATCCCATGATCCTGGAATGCTGAGAAAAGTATTCAGTAAATACATCCTAGTTGGCAAGTGTCTGAAGTTTGATCACATGACCATGGGAATGCTCCAACGCTTTTAAGTACAAGGACTGCTCATAAGTCACTTTTTTAAGCACTGTTGCAACTTAGAATAATCGCCAAGGACTACCTGTAGATTAAATCACTGTTTTGCCACAAGCAACATTTCACAATGGTCTTCCAAAATTGGTATAGACCAAATTTTCACAAAGGAGAGACATTGGGGACAAATTGTTCCCTATCAGTAGAAATATCATAGACTGCTGGTTTGAAAGAATTTAATTTTTCCTAATCTATCTTCATTTATTATATATTGTAATTATTATTTTAGATTTTGATGTTTTTAAATGACAACTGGGTTTGCATTTTGCTATTTGGGGTTGTGGGCTAGTTTCATACCAGGGGAATATTATTGTAATTTAAATTGTAATTATATTTACAACAAATGTAATAAATGATACAAACAAATGCACCAGAACAAACTGATAATACTTTTATTGCAACTATTATTTTAAAGGCCAAAGGAGGCAAAATGAGTCCATGGAATTATCTTAATTTTTAAGCACGCTTTGAACTCCTCCCCAAAAATATATATCTCGAGACAAAAGAAAATTGATAAGCACAAGTGTTAAGTCTTGGAGCGGAAATATCTGTGGAGTAGAAATATTTGCATTTTGATTTTGGACAACGCTACTGACAAGAATAGCCTCAAATTGCCTGAACCGACCAAAACATATACCTGGAAATCAATATTGGTACCCTTAGATTGACACAGTGTGAATCCTCCAAAATCTGCCTTTTCCATATATATAAAGATGCATGATGTGGATTTTATTTATTTAATTTATATTCTGCCTTTATTATTTTTACAAATATTTCAAGATGGCAAACATATCCAACACACTTTTCCACTTCTATTTTCCCTACAACAACAACCTTCTGAGGTGAATTAGACTGAGAGAGAGAGACTGGCTCAAAGTTATCCAGCCAGTCATAGATAAGCTGGGACTAGACTCACAGTGCCCTGGTTTCTAGCTTAGTGCCTTAACTACTAGATCACATTCACTGTAGGTCTGAAGTAGCAGAGTCTGAACTTTTAGAGGAAGACAGACTGACTTAAGCTACCATTTCATGCATACTCTTCTTAAGGGGAGCAATGCAACCAAATGGAGAAGAATTATTTGAACTATGTAATGGAATGACTATCTAACAGATGGGCCAAAGAGATTAAGTAAGGTTTATTATTATATAGTAGAGCTATCAAGAAAAATGGCATAGCTATGCTGGCTCTGTAGCATGAATAAATGAACTCCTAAAATTCAGTGTACAGTGAAATACAGAATCCTGTTAGGATGGACATTTTTAACCACAGAGCTTGTTGGACTTAAGATACAGGGAGGGAAGGAATTGCTTATGGAGCTGGGGTCAGAGGAGAATGATCTCTTGCTGGCTGGGGAATTCTAGGAGTTGAAGACCAGAGTTCTTAAAGTTGCCCGGGGTTGAGAAAGATTCTCCTCAGTGTCAAGTTTCTTCTATTAAAGTTAATTCCAGCCATACCCCTAAATCTAATCACACATGACTCTTCTGTTTACTTCAAAGATAGTTGCAAATCTATCTGGCATTCATTTGGCATCAACATAAATTATTGCCTGGAAACATATTACTTACATGCTTTGCAGGTCTGCTTTTCATTACAAGCATTGTGATCTCAAAAGACCAAACGGCATTAAAAACCATAAAATGGCATCATCATTTTGAAAACAAAAATGCATCAACGTTTTTCAAAACATAATATTTTACTATCTTGAAATGTAGGATTTTAGTATTCTAAAGCTTAGTTTCCTACAAGCTCCCTAAAAAGTATGTTCAAAAGCCTTCTTTCTACACAAAGGTCTTTGTATGCAGCTATTATCCTATATAGATAGTCCGTGACTTATGACCACTGTTGAGGTAATTCCCCGTTAGGAGAATGAGCGCATGCAGGGTGACGTATTTGAGAGAAGTGTTTGAATAATACACACACAGTACACAGATACACTGTACAGTAAATGTAGGTGTTTTACTTCCAGAAAGGTTTAAGCAAAGTCCAAACACAGTCCAAAAGCATTCACAAGTAAATCGGTCAGTTTTCAATCCAGGGATAATCCAAATATCAAATTCCAGTGTCAAAAAC